TGGGGCAAGAGCAGAATTATTAACAAATCTGCTATAAAATGCTTTTTACTGCATTATGCAAGTACTCTATACTGCAAGCAAGTACTCTTAGCTGAAATATAAAAGGGGATATAGTGAAACAAAACAAGGAAACAAACATACTAAATGGAGAAATTTCGCTCGTATTGTAATAAAAATAGCCCGTTTACGCACTTGCCCCGTTTACGAACTTACCCCACTTCACTTTACTAATAGGGTTCAGAATTTCAAATCTATTAGGAGTGATCAATTACTAAGAGGGTTATTCCCTTACCTCCGCAAGAAGCCTACAGCTTTCACCCTCGGTGACTATGGCCGGAAGCTCGTGTCTGTGGGCGCAAGACGAGGCTGGCCGCGGGAATGTCATGTTTCTTCCGTAACACAATGGAGGAACTGTTCTTGTGGTGATCCCGATTCCTGGTGAATCCATGTCTTCGATATCGGTCAACCTCTCGTTCTGTTCCTTTATGCTGTACGCGGCCGTGTTCTGAAGAAATACACGGAAAATCTTGTGATGCATAAATCAATACAGGATATGTTACACGTGTCTGATAATATTTTATGACAGGAAAGTATCACATAATGTCGTTTATGATACATCAATTTAAAGCTTATAGTCTGATGAAAATAATTGAAGCTTCTATTAATTACTCTAGAGCAAAATGGCTGACTATTGTTTACAACGAAGAACTCACAGTAAAATTTATATTGTCCAAATGTATAGTATTGGTAGATATAGATTCTAAGACGATTTCATGACGTAAAAGCATCACGAAATGTCGCTTATGACTGCATAAAGGCTTTACCAATTACTTTAATACAAAATGGCTGACTCTTGTCTAAAACAAGATGCATGCCACAGTGAAATTACTGCATTATGAAAATGAGTCTAGATTCAGATTCTCACATCATTTCATGACATAAAAGCATCACAAAATATCACTTGTGTTCCATCAATTTATAGTTTAAAGTCTCACGAAAATAACTGTATAACGCGATCATTAATTATTTTAATATCATATGTCAAATCCTGGCTGATAGTAAACAAAACAGAGTAAAATCATGTGTTGTTTCAATACACAACTTCGACATGTTGCAATCCGACCCAATTTCGTGACATAAAAGTATCACAAAATATCACTTATGTTACATCAATTTAAAGCTTCACGTCTGACAAATATGACCCTGTAAAGACTTCACTAATTATTTCATTTCGAAATGGGTAATCGTTAATTGAAACAAACAAAATTCATGTATTGCTCATATAAGCAAGTTCGCCACATATTAATTCGGAGTTAATTTCATAACATAGTGGTACAAGAAATTGTCACTTGTACCACGTCAATTTGTTCGACGAAAATAACAACATTAAGAAGTATGCAACAGACAGAGCGATTAATAATAGCGTTTCCATGAAGTGATCTCTCCTCAAACTCCCATTCAACTGTTCTAATACTAGAAGTTACCAAACACTTGCACAATACCAAGACGTCCCGAAATACTCATCCCTCTCCCAGAATGGAACACTATTGTGTAACAAGCCTCCCGTTGCTTCTAAATCGACTAACTTTTCTTGCAACTATTTCGCACTCGCTTTCTATCTTGTTTGAATATGCAACTTTATCGAGGTAATCGAAATAACCTAGTGCAATAACTGCATAGATAAAATCGTTCAACTTTCACAAATGGCACGTATCGATTATTGCACTCATAAATCATTTAACCGTCAGAAATGTTCGCGGCTGACTAAACAAAAACCGTACAAAAATATTTTAAAAGAAACTTCTACTGAAAACAAAGTGTATAAACGATTTATATCGCGTTAATTCAGTTTCTCATCACTCTCACGTTATGAAACATCGGTAATTAGATGCAATTACCTGAACCGTGGTATCTGACGATCTTAAATGAAATGCAAGATACACGAGCATTAGACCCCAGAAATCTGTTGAATCAACTTTCAATTGTAACCAGAATCTATCGCATAATTGAAACCCGACTTTCACGTCTGTTACTCGAATACCTAACCGCATGATTGCAGCTAAATCGACGGAACTGAGACAACAGTGGTGAATTAAAGCATGAACTTCGATAGAAAGGAAGCTTAACAAAGTTCGCGAGCGAAAGCTTCGAAGACCTGTCGGGATTTACCCAGGAGATATTAACGCTTCAACACCTGAATATTTTAAGGAATCAATGGCTTCTATTATAATTGGTAATTTCGCAACTGTAACAACTTTCGAATATGATACTTCATGAATAATATTATTTCAGATGAGGTAAGTACTTCGTGGTGGTAATGTTAAGAGTGTTTTATGTAATTTTTAATGAGGGATAATATCTTGATGATACACCGATAATATATGAATAATATACAGGGTGGCTCACCACATTTTGCCATCTATATTTGCGTCATTATTATTACACATAGCAAACAATGTTTTAGATGAAGTTGAATGGTTTTGAGAGGGGCATATGCTGATGGTATATTTTTTTTGTAGGTGGACGTGTAAAGGACATATGAAGGTCATTAATGTTTTTTTAAATGGAATCATATATTTTTTATTGCATCAGCTGATACTCCTTCATATTTTTTGCAAAAAAGTATTGATCTATTTATGTGAAAAAATCATTAGTTTAGGAGATAGTTTAATTCTAACTTGTTAAGAAATCGTGACTTTCTGGTCAATATTATGAATTGCCCTAACTGAACAGCAAATGTTTTTCTACATGCTTTGAGAGGTCACGTGACACCAATTGAATTGTGAGTTTCTGTTATTTCTTTGTTACGCAGTAAATATACTACCTAACGAGTAAATAGGTTTCATTCATATCTGTTACGCAATTGTATGATTGAATGAAATAGAAATTACTTCATTAGGAAATAGAAATAATTTTATACTTTTTAGTGCATTTGGAAGTCGGTGTATTTTTTTTCTTAAAATTATTTTATGCTGCGCACGCGTCTCCATTGAAGTACATGGGAAAAAGATGGTCACACGTAAGGTACCTTTTCTGGAGAACCAGAGCACCTACATGTACGCCCCAGTTACCAAATTAAAGCTAAGGAGATGGCCGACAATCTGAGTGAAGTGGATTTTTTTTGTAAACACTTCAAACCTGACAACTTACTTCAACGGCCACACTTATGACCAGTTTTAAACAAATTGAAGAAAAAATGAGAATGTCGCTCCCCTTAAACAACCACAGCTATTGTACTTTCAAAAACAAAGTAGCGAACAAAAGTCGGTAACAAAGTACCCATTCAAATGACTAATTCCACGCCAAGTTTAAAATCAAAAAAACACAAAAACTGAAGTTCATTCTGAAACAAATTTATGAGAATTTTATAACATTACACGCATATTACAAATTCAACATGTTATCATATAAAAGACAATATCCACACTCACTTCTTTTCCTTGATATTAATAACTTTGCAACAAGATATCGATATTTTTAGTTCACAGCTGTTACATATTACACTTTGCAACTGTTTATCAAGAATCACGGATATCAGGAATGTATAGGATGATGAAATACTTTGCTTCACAAGGTAGCAAATGAAAAAACTTAAGGCTACGTTTAAGGATATCCGGTGTACATTTTTAGATAAAAAATAAAAGATAATTTTTTAAATAAAAAATGAGAGATGAAACATAAATTAATTTGTACAATTATTCTTCGTCTCGGCAAAAGTTCACATTCCGACAAAGTCCTTTTACTTTGTATAATTTGAAATAAGGAAAGCGGTACATCAATATCGTCAATATAATAAATATTGAAAAAGTGGGACTCGGCCCAATGACTTTGACGTCGACATTGTTTTTTCGTTGTCCTGAGTAACTTTTCCTTATTTTAGAGTTATGTTGATTTAAAACATCCTAACACAATCTAACATGCTTTATAATTCATGGTATTCACTTTCTGACATTCATTTTTAATTATATTATAAAACCTGTTAAATTGGATCAGATTGTAGTACTCTTCAGGTCACACGACCTGAAATTCAAAATGGTTGAAATCTGTTCAACTTGATTGATAAATTCATGCGTTGAATAGCCGATGATAGGCGCGTTCCCAAATACTAAACGCTGCCAAAATCATTAAGTATTTCGTTGCCAGATTACGTACAAATTTTGGTTTTTATAAATATTTTATGGTCAATAACTTTTTAATGAACAATGAGACAGTTACAGAAAAAAGTTACTCAGGAACATGTTCTTAATAATATATGCCAATGACAAGATCATTGGGGCATTTTATATTTGCCATACATAGTGCGAGACTCCTAAGACTGAACTTGCATTTGTTCGTTTGTATATACGCCACAGGATGCAATTTTGAGTTTTTTGACTTGAAATTTTGAGAGAAGTCTCGTGAGATATCCTAAATGATTTTGGCGGTGGTCTGACGATAGGAACTCGTCGTTACCAACGTCAATCGTCTACTCGATAAACAACCGTGTTTTGCTATCCTTTCCGATAATTTTTGACATACACAATCGACTGGAAGCATGTTGAAAGCTCTATAACTCATCGTTGACGACAATGCTTGGCCGTTGACGTCGGTCATCGTGAAATCAACAGTAATCATGTATGGTATCGTTTCCGATAGTTTCAAACACGAATAACCGTTTGGAACAACTTTGAAATCTCTACATTTCATTCTTGTTCTACCTACATGTTTACAACAGGTACTCTAAATTTGAAATACACATTCGAATTCGTGAGACACCTGGTCTAACCCACTAGTACATTGCACAATCGGGATTATAACGTGTCATACAACACACATAGCGTAACATAACAGCATGTGTCTAACACACGAACGACGCGGTGTCAGGCAACGTGTGAAGGGGCTTATCCGGAGCTTTGCGTTAACATAATCGGAAGATTCGATTGTAGTGGATCTACCGGTAAATCGCTTCCTCTAACGCATATTATTTGACTGCTGGTTAAAAGATGGGGATACTATGAATGAGCGACGAAAAGAGGGAGAAATAGGGGTCAAAGTCAAACGGTAACGAAGCTCGGCTCAGTTGTCATTTCTTCGCTGTGCCAGCTGCATTCGTCGTCGATCGACTGCTGTGCTGTCTGCGATTAATCGAACTCTACGCAGCAACAGGTATCGATAGTGATTCTAACGTCTTAACGTTTCAACTCCAATTACGGTTTTCACGATCGCGTAAATCGGGTCATTTTTCGTGTTATATTTCACTGGTTTTTGACCACCTTTTTGGGATTTGCAAATTTAAATCCTACACTCTTTTTGCCTAATTAAATTGATGGAAAGTTTCAAATATCGCCAGTAATTTGAAACAAATCAACAAATAGTAATAATGAATTTTAACCAATGCTGTAGTGGCTAATTTCTACAATTCACAAGCTGACCAAAGTCTATTCTTGAATTCACTGACGTGTATTCTGTCACAAAAATAAATTTTATTTTGTGGTATATGGCTTGTATCTTGTATGTCATACGTTTCAATGTTTTCATATTTTATATGTGATATGTTTCATATATTTTATATGCTTTGATTTATATTAGACACGTGATGTGTTTGTGTTAGAATAAAATGAAGCCTGTACATTGCAATGTGCATTCTGAAACAGTTAAGCTGTACCCACGAAATGCCAGCATGGACAGCCATTCAAGATTGAAGTTTTAGTCTCGAAGAAGGAAACTTTCGAGGAAAAATTTGAAGCAAAATTTGAATTAAAAATTTAAAGAAAATTTGAAGGAAAAATTTGAATAAAAAAATTTGAACTAAAATTTGAAGGAAAAATTTGGAAACGAAATTTGAAGGAAAATTTGTTACATTATTTGTTGAATTACCCTCTTTCAGATAGAGTAGGCCATCTTTCAAATATAAATTCACTATTTTTCGAATGTAGGTACACTGTTTCCAAAATGAATTCACTCTTTCTAAAATAAATCCACAATCCTCCAAACTGAAATACACTGTCTCTACACTCTTCCAAATCGAATTGGATTTTCCATCGTATCTTGAAATGTTCCGCAAAGAATTGCACCGAATGGCCTGAATTTGAATTGAATTAGTTGACGAAGTTTATAGACCCTGAAATAAATGCGATCACAGCGTGATTCGCATTAGCCAGTTGTGTGACCGGGATTGAGTAATTGCGAAATTGACTGGCAACAGGAATAGGTAGCCAATCGATTGGAAAACTACCGGGCAATAGTGCTGAAAAGCATTTTCAAAGCAAGCGCAGCTTCCTGTCGACAAAAGCGACATCTCGATAGAATCTTTCAGATCTTGCGGCACCTGTTGTTTAACATGTAAATGTTAATTCAACGAAGTTGTAATGCGTTACTGTTTACCGAGATACGACTTAAGGCGATAAAGAGATTATCTATTGTTAGATTACGATTTAACGATAAGATCGCGATGGAAATAATTGTCTGATGTTGGAAGAGCAATTTAGCTGCGCGAAGAGTGGGTTTATGAAACGAAAAGCGAAGTTGAAGGTGTTAAAGAAATTATATTTAAGTTTCATGATTTTTTACTTTAATGTTAGACAATTTTTTAATAAACCTCGATGCTATCATTGGTAGTTAGATTTTTAATAAACCTTGATGCTATTATTGTGAGTTAGATTTTTAACAATTTTTTCTTTTTTACTATTTGATAGATATTTAACAGATCTTGATGCTGTTAATGCTACTTAGATTTTTAATAATTTTTTCTTTTTTACTATTTGATAGATATTTAACAGATCTTAATATTATTATTGCTAGTGACATTCTTAATAACTTTTTCTTTTTTTATTCTTCGACAAATTTTTAGTAATTCGTGATACTATTATTAGTAATGAGATTTTGAATCATTTTTGTTATTATTATTGTTATACAGATATTTAATTATTTTTGGTATTATTATTACTGCATACATTTTTAATTACGCTCGTTACTATTATTACATAAATTCTAATCATTTCTATTATTAATACTGTAATACAAATTTTTAATCATTTGTCTGGATATTATTGCTACACTCATTTTCAACAAATTTTGTTATTATTATTCTTATTATTATTACAGAGATTTCTCATGATTTCTGGTATTATTATTACTGCACAGTCTTTCAATAATCCTTGTTATTATAATTATTATTACACAAATTTTTTATTATTATTGCTACACAGGTCTTTATTATTTTCCATTTACTATTCTTAATAATGTTTAGAACTATTACTATCATATAGATATTTAATAATTAATTTTAATATTATTATTACAATGGTTTCTAATCAATTTTATTATAATTTTCATTACGTAGATTTTTAATGACTTTTTGACATTAGTATTATATAGATTTTTAATAGTTTATTATTTTATTGTTTTAAAAATCATTTAACCATTTAACCAAAACAATGCTGTATTCACTCAATATAATAATAAAAAGTATCATAGAACATAATATAATCAATTTAATAATTTAATCATGTTTTGTACCATCATTATTATCAACATTATTAATGACCCTTAGAATAATTATTACACAAATATTTAGAAAACATTCTTACTATTACATAAATTTTGTTATCCTTTTGTTATACAATTCTTCAATTACACAGTTGAAGATTACACAATTCTTCAATAATGTTTTGCATCAATGACAATAAAGTCATTTTGTTAAATAAGAAATTGTTTATGATAAATCCTTACTATAAATTTTTACTTACAATAACTCCTTCGTATATACATTGTATGTTCGCATATAATGAATCCTTGTTATAAGTTTTTGCTTATAATAAATTTTACTCGAACATACAAGCTTGCTTCAATGCATTCTTATAAAAATCTGAGAAACCAAAGAGTACAACGTCCTCATGTTGGTGTTTCACTGCCGAGAGCGAAAAAAAGTGCTGATTCGTAACAGGAAAACGACGAGCCTTATTAGACAGTATAATGCATTTGCAATTTACGTACTATGCCGCAATAAATAACGTATCTACATTGAAATGACTATCGCGAAAAAAAAGTCAAGATTCCAGATAAACACTATGTAAGGGAACATAATTTGGTGTAATTACTTTTTTCCTAAAAGAATGAATATATAGTCGCATATAGACAATATACGAAGGCCAGCCATAGTTCTTTTTTTTCAGTGAAACCGTTTATCTTTGTTTTGACATTTGCAAATTTGGACATTTCTAAATTTAAACTTGATTAAGAACTTGGAAATTTGAACATTTAAAAATCTGAGAGATTTGAGGAATTCGCAAATTTAAAAATTAGGGCATTGAGGTGTTCACAATTGTGAGAATTGGAATATTAGAGAATTTGAAAATATGTAAATTTGAGTTGGATAGATTGGAAATTTTCACATTTCTTAATTTAGGAATTTCCCAGCATTTCAAATATACGAATTGCAAAATTCTATAGATCTTTACATTTCGTGGCCTTAAAATTCCCTAGATCTTCAAATTTCCGAATTCCTAAGCAAAATTCTCTAGATTTTCAAATTTCCAAATTCTTAAGTTCCTGAATTAGAAAAATCCATGGATTTCCAAATTTATACATTTTCAAAATTCTGAAATGTCCACACTGTAACATTCCCTAGACTTTCTCTTCGCAAATTTGAAAATTATATATAGTAATATGTACATTTAATAATTCAGGGAATTTAACAAGTTAAAAACTTAGAGTTTCAGGTTTCCCAATTCTTAAGTACCTGAATTAGAAAAATCCCTAGATTTCCAAATTTATACATTTACAAAACTCCGAAATATTCACATTTCAAAATTTCCTAGACTTTCCCTTCACAAATTAAAAAATTATATATAGTAATATGTACATTTAATAATCCAGGGAATTTAACAAGTTAGGAACTTAGGAGTTTGCAAGTCTAGGTAATTTCACAATTTAGACGTTTAAAAATCTAAGGAATTTCACCGTTCAAATATTTAGGAATTTTTCAATCTTTAAATCTAATCAACTTTGCAATTAAAAAATTTTAGGAGTGTTCAAATGTAATAGTTTGAAAATCCAGGAAATATAATAATTTAAAAACGTAGAAAATAACAAGTCGAGAAAATTTCATAATTTAACAATTTGAAAATCTAAAAACTTTCTAAAAATCTAAAAAGGAATTTGGAAAATTGAGAATCTAGAAAATTGCACAATTTAAAAATTGAGGAATGTAGAAAATTTCAGAATTTGTATAATTCAAAATCTAGTAACTTTCACAATATAGAATTTAGGAGTATATGAACTTGAAAATTTAGGGAATTTCAACATTTTTTGAATACATAGAATATTTTATAATAGGGAAGTTTATGAATTCCAGGGAAAAATCTAGAAAATTTCACAATTGAAATTTGTAGAATTGTGGAAATTTGAAAGTCAAAGTAACCCTGACATTTAGAAACTTAAAAAACTTGGAAATCTAGGTAATTTCACAATTTAGAAATTTGCAAATTTGTGAATTTAGAAAATTTCACGGTATACAAATTTAGGTATTTGAGAATTTAAAAATTAATTTGAAAATATAGAAATTTTGGAATTTAGAAAATTTGAGGAACTTTGGTAACTCGGTCATTTAGATGACCGAGCAAATGTGCAAATTTCAGAAATCAAAAAATGTAAGATTCTAAAAATTAGAGAAAATTTACAAATTTAAAAATTGGTGGACTTGGATATTTAATTTCTCACCTTAAAAATGTGGTAATTTAAAAACTATATCTATTCCCTAGATATAGATACTGAAAAATTTAATATTTCAGAACACTAGGAAAAATGAAAATGAAAATTCTGAAAATACAGTAATTCAAAAATCAGGAAATTTAAAAATTTTTTATAATTTCTATATATTTTTAATTTGTAAGTTTTTAATTAAGTAACATTAAACACTGAATCATACCTACTTTAAAACGATCATTTTTCTAATAAAAACTGAAGCAATCATAAATGTAATAGTGGAACGTTCAAATAAACTCTATCACCCTAATCCAATTGAGACTCGGAAAAGTCGAAATCGAGTTTCATTTTCAGCGGATACATCGTTCCAATATCATCTCCATCGATCTCGACGAGCTCGATAGAAACTTGGAATACTACCGTAACCTTTTTTCTTCGAATCTTTTTAAATTTATGATCAA